AGTAGCTCTGTGTGCTGAGTATGAAGGACACACAGTTGGAAAGTGGCTGCCTTTGGAGGACAGGAAATGCACCTGGAGGAGAGGGAGGTTTTTCATTCCATGTTCTTTGGTTCTGTTTTTACCATGTGTATGTATTACCTCTACCAGGAAAAAAAAAAAAAGACGTATTTACAAAGCAAACCACTAACAATGAGCCCAGACAACTACAAAGTTTAAAAGTATGCACAGCAAGGTACCCAAGAGACATGAGTAAACTATGACACACTAGCAAGCTAGGGGTGGGGTGGGGAGGAAGGAGAGAAAAACTGAGACTTTGGGTAAACATAACAGAATGAACCTACATCTGCATCATCTCTAGAAATCTCACTAAAATGATGATGGGACAGGAAAGAGGTAACAAAGGTACCATGCCACAAGGATAAACTCTTTGAAATTCCTTCCTTCCAAAGCTAAAGAATAATTCCCCTCCCTTTGAGTGTAGGCTGGACTTCGTCGCTTCTAACGAATAAAGTGGAAGTGAGAGTGTGAATCTTCAGAGACTGAGTCAGGCCAGGGGCTGCTGACTCCTCTCTGCTCTCACTTGGACCGCCCATTCTTGGGGAGGTCAGCCACCACGCTGTGGGGCACTCAAGCAGCACTATGGAGAGGCCCTTGTGATGAGGAACTGAAGCCTCCTGCCAACAGCCATGTGAGTGAGGGATCTTGGAAACAGATTCTCTAACCTCAGTCAAGCCCTCAGATGACTACGGCCTCCGCTTATATCCTGACCACAACCTCATGAGAGACCCTGAGCCCAAACCACCCAGCTACATGGCTCCTGGACACTGCCTGACCGCCCAAACTGTATGAGATAATAAATGCTTGATGCTTCAAGCTGTTAAAGCTCTGGGGTGATTTCTCACTCACCAATAGACAAATAATACACCCTTTATAGCCAGCGGTTAAAGGGAAGCAGAGCAGGAACAAATGGATTTGTTCCGGGGAACCCAGAAAGGCTCCAAACAAACAGATCAAAGAAACAGAATAAAGAATCGCACACATAAGAATTATAGAACAGAGGTGGCAATATAAATGAGTGGGTAAAGTACTAACTTTTCAATAAATGGTGTTGGGACAACTACTGTCCATCTGGGGAAAAAAATTAAGTTTGGTGCCCTGCCTCACACTATTCAGAAAAACTAATTTCAGATAAGCTATAAACCCAAGAGAAATGAAAACATATGACCACACACAAACTTACATAGAATGTTCACAGAAGTATGACTCTATAACAATAGCGAAAAAGTGGAAACAACCTAAATATTCATCAACTGATGAATGGATAAATAAAATATGGTCTATCCATACAACGGGATATTATTCGGTCATAAAAAAGAATGAAGTCCTGGGATCCCCTGGTGGCGCAGCGATTAAGAATCCACCTGCCCTTTTTTCCCATCTTGCAAGACGGTGGGTGAAAAGGCTGAGAAGCCAGATACTAAGGAGAAAAAACCTGAAGCCAAGAAGGCTGATGCTGGTGGCAAGGTTAAAAAGGTGAAGCAGGTTAAGAAGCGGAAGCCCCACTGCAGCCGAAACCCTGTCCTGGTCAGAGGAATTGGCAGATATTCCCTATCGGCTATGTATTCCAGAAAGGCCTTGTACAAGAGGAAGTATTCAGCAGCTAAATCCAAGGTTGAAAAGAAAAAGAAGGTGAAGCTTCTTGCTACTGTCACAAAACCAGTTGGTGGTGACAAGAATGGTGGTACCCAGTTGGTTAAACCTCGCAAAATGCCTAGGTATTATCCTACTGAAGATGTGCCTTGAAAGCTGTTGAGTCACGGCAAAAAACCCTTCAGTAAGCATGTGAGAAAACTGCGCGCTAGCATCACTCCTGGGACCATTCTGGTTATCCTCACTGGGCGCCACGGAGGCAAGAGGGTCATTTTCCTGAAGCAGCTGAGCAGTGGCTCGCTACTTGTGACCGGGCCTCTGTCCCTCAATCGAGTTCCTCTGCGGAGAACACGCCAGAAATCTGTCATTGCCACTTCCACCAAAACTGCTATCAGTGGTGTGAAAATCCCAGAACATCTCACTGACGCTTACTTCAAGAAGAAGAAACTGCATAAGCCCAGGCACCAGGAAGGTGAGATCTTCGACACAGAGAGAGAGAAATACGAGATTACAGAGCAGCGGAAGGTTGATCAGAAAGCTGTGGACTCACAAATTCTGCGAAGAATCAAAGCTGTTCCTCAACTCCAGGGCTACCTCCACTCTGTGTTCGCTCTTACAAACAGAATTTATCCTCACAAAGTAGTGTTCTAAACTTCTTACAAAGAACCTAATTAAATAATTTGGTCCATTTAAAAAAAAAAAAAAGAATCCGCCTTCCAATGCAGGGGACACGGGATGGAGCCCTGGTCCAGGAAGATCGCACATGCCGCGGAGCAACTAAGCCTGTGCACCCCAACTACTGAGCCTGCGTTCTAGAGCCCGCGAGCCACAACTACTGAGCCCGCATGCCACAACTACTTTAGCCTTCACGCCTAGAGCCCATGGTCTGCAACAAGAGAAGCCACCGCAACGAGAAGCCCGCACACCGCAACGAAGAGCAGCCCTCGCTCGCCGCAACTAGAGAAAGCCTGCGCGCAGCAAGGAAGACACAACGCACCCAAAACTAAATACGTAAGTAAATAAATTTATTTTTAAAAAAAGGAATGAGTTCCTGACACATGCTACAACATGGATGAACCCTGAAAACACTATGCTAAGTGAAAGTAGTCATAAAATATCACATATTGTATGATCCCATTTATATGAAATGTCCACAATAAGCAAATCCATAGAGGCAGAAAGTAGTTTAGTGGTTGCCAGGGGCTGGTATATATGGGGGGAATAGGGAGTGACTGCTAACAGGTACAAGGCTTTTTGAGGTGATGAAAATGTTCTAAAATTGACTGTGGTGATGGGTGCATAACTCTATGAACAGACTAAAAATGACTGGATTATGCACTTTAAATGGGTGACCTATAAGGTATGTGAATTGTACGTCGATTAAACTGTTATAAAAACAACAATAGGGAATTCCCTGGCAGTCCAGTTGTTAGGACTCCAAGCTTCCACTGTAGGGGGCTCAGGTTTGATCCCTGGTCAGGGAACTAAGATCCTGCAAGCTGCACGGTGTGGCCAAAAAAATAATAATAAATTAATAATAATAATAATAAAAGATACATTCCAGACAGATTCAAGAAAAGCTAAAGACAAAAGTACTAGAAGAATTTCTTTAAGAAGACACAAAATGCCAAAGCCGTAAAGCAAAAAACTGATGAATTTGACAAAATCAAAATTCTAAACTTCCACATAAGTACAGACTTGATGAAGGTGTCAGTCAGTGCAGAAATGAGGGCCTGACCTCTAGCAGGGCGCCAACACTGGCCAACTGTTTCTTGGCCCGATGCCTGCCCTCTGATGAGTTACACATGGATGAGCAGTGTGGCCAAGTGGGGGCTGTGGGTGCAAGACAAACCAAGAATTGTCGGTTGAACTGAAGATTTCATTTGGGAACCAAAAACTTTAGTAATTTCTCTGTACTTTGAGCCCCATATTTCTCCTGCAAAGTATGGATCTTTGCCAAAAAAAGGTTTGGTTGGGGTTACATTACTGAGAAACAAGATGAGATGGTTACGTGGAAGTGTTTTTTAATGGCATATTCTGCCAGAAACTAGAAGGCTGCAGCCTATTTTGAATTTCAACTTTTATTATATCTTTAAGGAATGAAATTATCAAAAGGCACACAAATCGAGCTCTAATATACTACTGTTTGAACAGTACTACACTATTATGCACTGTACTGTATTTCTTTATTTTAATCCTCAGGCATGGTTTTGGCAGCAAAGAGCCCTATAATATTAATAAATTTAACAAAATGGATATCTAAGTGAATTAAAAAAAAAACTTTCAAGTAATCAAAGTTACCATAAAGTTAAAAGAAAAGGAGCTAATCAGGAGAGACATGTGCAATGTATAAACAGGCAAAGATTTAATATATAGAATATAGAAAGAGTTCCTACAAATCAATTTTTAAAAAGGACAAATAACCCAACAGAAAATAAGTGGGGAAAAAAGACTAACAGACAATTCATAGAAACGGTACTCAATCTCACTGGTAGTCAGGAAAATACAAATTAAAACAAGATGGCATTTTAGCAAAGTTATTAAAAGATCAATAAGAGTACTGCTGATGATATGATACACAGTTGACCCTTGAACAACATGGGTTTGAACTGCTTAGGTTCGCTTACATGTGAATTTTTTTCAATAAATACAGTACTGCACAATCCGTGGATACGGAGGGCCAACCACGGGACTTGAGCATCTACAGACTCTGGTATCTGCACTAGTCCCGAAACCAATCCCCCGTGGATACTGAGGGACGACTGGACTCACATACTGTTGGTCAGGGTACAAATTCATAGAACTTTTTCAAATTACCTATTAAAATCTTAAGTGTGCATTTGCTGAGAGCTTGTAATTCTACTTCCAGGTGTGCACAGTTGTGAACAAGTATGCACGACTATTCACACTGGCATAAAACTGGAAATGAACAAGACGTCCACTGATAAGGCAGCGGGTGGACAAACTTCTATCCATTCATACCATGGAGTGCTATGCAGCCGTGAAAAAGAGCGAGGTGTGTGCCCAGATGAAAAGATGTCTAAGAAACCTTGTTAAATGAAAACAAGGATAGGAAGCAGGAGAGGGGTATTTTAGACAGGGTGGCTGGAAAGGCCTCACTGAGAAGGCGGCATTTGTACAAGAGGAGGGAGGGAAGGAAGGAAGGTGAGGGGGTAAGGGAAGAAGATTAGCATTCTAGGCAGAGGGAACAGCAAATGCGAAAGCCCCGAGCGGGGACTGTGCCTGAGAAACGGCATTTTGAGGGCAGCCGTCAAAGGCCCCGGCCACGTTTCCTGGCCCCGGCAATTCCAGGGTTACTGGTCAGATGCCACGTAATACCTCCAACTCACCCCCTCACTGTGCTGGACCACAGTGCCAATGTTCTGCAGCGACTGGAAGTTTTGGGTGTTCACAGAGCCAAACTCCACTATCTCGTCAGCCACTTGCAGACCCTAAAGAGAGAAGGGAAAACAGAAAATCAGGCTAGAGGTTAAATGTTCTTCTGGTGTTCTTTACCCTCCCATACGCTCCCAATTTAATAAGCGTGTTTTCTACAGGGGAGAACGGCAGGCACGATGCAAAGAGGCTGGGATTTAGATACCTCGGGCAGGGAGGGGCGGTGGATAACTGGGCCACCTCCTCCGGGGGTTCCTCCAGGGGCAGATCTAATAAAAGGTGGCCAGGTCTGCCCAGTGTCTGAGAAAAGCTGGCAGTTGTATAGGCCTGGAGGAAAATGGGGAAAAGCTCTCTGGGGTCCTGACCCAGGTTTGGGGGCAAGTAGAGGCAGGCCCATCTGGCCTATTTTGTTCAGGGGTCAGAATTCAGACGCATTGGCCCTAAAAGCCCCCAGGCAAGCAGCCACGGGCACAACACTGACCCAGGACTAGAGTGATCCTGTCACTCTAAGAGCACAGATCACAATTCACCCATCCCTTGAACAAATACTCGTCGCAGGCTGACGCCAGCTCTGTGCCAGATGCTGTGCACACAGTGGTGAATAAAACAGAGCTTGTGTGTAACCTGCAGTCTTGTGATCACTAAAGACGACTGGCAGGACCCAGGTCCACCTTCTAGAAGCTGTGCGTCCTGGCAGAAGGTACTTCAGGTCTTTGAGGCTTTTCCTCATGGGTGAAATGGGGTAGATTAGTACCTACCCCAGAGAACGGCTGTGGGATTAAATATTACATGCAGGTCCACATACACCAAGGGGGGAAAGTGGTGGGGGATGGTGCGATGAATTGGGAGATTGGGATTGACATGAATCCACTAATAAGTATAAAATGGATAACTAAGAAGAACCTGCTGTATAAATAATAAATAAACAAAATAAAATTCAAAAAAAGACTAGACTAAGGCTGAACAACAACAGCAAAATGCAGGTACACATAAAAATTTGTACATCAGGTTCACGGCAGCATTATTCATAACGGCCAAAAAATGGAAACTGAGGAATGGATAAACAAAGCGTGGTCCATCCCGACAGCACATTAACCTCAGCAGTAAAAAGGAATGAACATGAGGGAGGGATCAACTGGGACACTGGGACTGACATATACACACTACTATATATAAAACAGATCACTAATAATAAACTTCTGTAGAGCACCGGGGACTGTACTCAATACTGTGTAATGGCCTACATGGGAAAAGAATCTTAAGAAAAGAAAAACAGAGTGGATATATGTACACGTGTATATGTGTAACTGATTCGCTTTGCTGTACACCTGAAACTAACACAACACTGTAAATCAACTATACTCCAATAAAAAAATGTTTTAAATAAAAAGTAAAAATTTTTTAAAAAATTAAAAAAGGAATGAAGTTGAGATACATGCTCCAACATGGCTGGACCTTGAGAACATGATACTAAAAGGAAGAAGCCAGTCATAGAGGACCACATATTATTATGATTCCATTACATATATATGACATGTCCAAAATAAGCAAGTTCAGAGAGACAGAAAGCAGACCGGTGGTTGCCAGGGGCTGGGGGGATGGGGCGGTTGAGGCGTAATGGCAAATTGACACTGGGTTTCTTTTTGGGATAATGAAAATATTCTAAAATTGACTGTTAATACACTAAAAGCTACTGAATCATATATGTACCTTAAAAGGGTTAAAGTTATGGTATGTGAATTATATCCCAATAAAGCTGTTAAAACTTCTCTAAAGACACCAGGGAAGCTATAACTCACTTGGCAGGATACGTGGTGCTAAGCAAGGGCTCAGCAAGTGGCAGCTACTGTTGTCATTCTCGTGTCCATTACTCAACACCCAGCTAAAATCGGCCCTGAGAAGAGAGCCTCTTTCCCTCTCCGGGGTCACCCTGTGTCCCAGGGTCTCTCTGCAGCTAGTTGAGTGGGCAGCAGGGGCTGACTCCTGCTGGGCTGCAGCGGGCCTTCATCGGCGTCTGCTGCACTGGTGACAGCGTGGGTCTGTCTGTCCATAGCCTCCCACCCCCAACCCTGCCCCAAGGCACCCTTGGGGTGTGGATTTAGGGGGCCAGGCCCTGGCTTACTGCGATGCTGGCAGGGGAGCCGGGGCTGATGCTGTTCACTATGGCGAAGGCCTGAGCAGGGCTGAGGTCCTGGCTCTGGCCCAGGCCATGGCTCATGGCCTCCTTGCGGGCCTCGGCCAGGTCCCGGGCCTGCTTCTCCTTGTCGCGAGCGTGCAGCTGGTGCAGGGCCTCCTCCACCTGCTTCATCACCGCCTTGTGATCGTTCTGCAAGCCTGGAGGAGAGCACCGTGTCAGGGGCCGAGAAGACAGCTGAGGACACAAGACCCACACATTCATTCACTGACTATTCAACGAGCACTTATTATATGCCAGACGTTGTGCTAGAAGCTAAGGACCTATCTGTGAACAGGACAGAGGGGCTGCCCTCATGAAGCTTACAGTCCTGCAAGGAAAGCAGCTGTGGGACAAGTGATTGCAATGACACCTGATGACTTCAGTGACTAGGAGATCAGGGAAGGCTCCCCAAAGGCAGCACCATTTCAGCTGAGACCTGAAAGGTGAGCAGAAGGAGGGAACTGACCAGGTGAATCCATGGCCACAAACTCAAACGCTCACAAGGGGCAAACACGAGTAAAGCAGGCTGGGCTAAGAAGGCTTTCGCTTTTCTCGTAATGCCTCTAGAAGAAAAAATGATGCCAAGGCTACCAACACGTGACTGGTGATATTCAGTCTGGGAGAGGCAACAGAGAGCAAAGCTGGAAATTAGGAGTTTGGGGATGAAACCTTCGGATTTTTTTCAGTACTGATGGTCAACTCAGGATGTTGGGAAAGACTGTGTGGGCCAAGCAAGTCATCTCTGCAGGCCGGGCTACCAGAGTGGCTGGGAGCTGGGTTAACTTTTTTTTTAACCTAAAGACAACTTCCTCTACGGCTCTGGATTCGGCACCTCATTCAAGCCAGTTCCCTAGGACATCCCTGGTGGTCCAGTGGTTAAGACTTCACCTTCCAACGCAGGGGGTGCAGGTCTGATCCCTGCTCAGGGAGCTAAGATCCCACATGCCTCATGGCCAAAAAACCAAAACATAAAACAAGCAATATTGTAACAAATTAAATAAAGACTTTTAAAAAATGGTCCACAAAAAAAAAAAAAAAAAAAAACTTAAAAGAAAAGAAAGCCAGTTCCCTGTGAAGAGTTCCAGAGGCCTGAACAAACCAGCACTGCCTGCCAATCCATGTCTAGCATCCATAGGCCACAGACTTTCAGACTTTCCAGGCACCTTGGACTGTGGGCACGCAAGGCTACCTGACCTTGTTCGGCTGCTACTGTCACTTTGGAGAACAGGTAAGGCCCTCAGGCATTACGAGCCTCTAGCACTCAACCCACTGGTGCAGACACGAGAAAGAGCCCAGACTTGAATAAATGAAGACATAAACCTGGGCAGGAAGACTTAAAATGGTGTCAGTGTATAATACACTCTGACTAGAAAAGGTCCCCCAGGTGATAAGCTCCACGAGGACCCCAGAGCCTTCAGAGAGGCCTGGCACACAGTAAGTCTCAAGCTACTGCTGCTGGGTAAAGGAATGAATGACTTCATACACCATATACTGCAATTCTAATCAGAATTCAAAAAAAATTTTTTCCTTGAACAAAATGTTTCCAAAGTACATTTCAAAAAACAAACTTGCAATTATAACAAATGCAACATATTAAGGGAAAGATGCTAGTAATGGGGAAAACTAGGTACAGAGTATACGGGACCTCTCTGTGTTATTTTCCCAATTTTTCTGTAAATCTAAAACTGTTCTAAAAAATAAAGTTTATTTTTTGGGGCTTCCCTGGTGGCACAGTGTTTAAAGAATCCGCCTGCCAATGCAGGGGACAGGGATTCGAGCCCTGGTCCGGGAAGATCCCACATGCTGTGGAGCAACTAAGCCTGTGTGCCGCAACTACTGAGCCTGAGCTCTGGAGCCCGAGAGCCACAACTACTGAAGCCCGCACGCCTAGAGCCCAAGCTCTGCAACAAGAGAAGCCACCGCAATGGGAAGCCCGCGCACCACAACGAAGAGTAGGCCCTGCTCACCGCAACTAGAAAGCCACACGCAGCAACAAAGACCCAATGCAGCCAAAAATAAATAATAATTTTTTTTAAAAAAAGTCTATTTTTTAAATAAAATAAACTTGTGAGAATAGTTTTTCAAAAGAAGACCAATAAGGAATCGCTCAAACAGACTCTTACATATATTAAAGTCATTAAGATAGCATGATGTTAGCACCCAAAAGGAGAGATCAACGGAACAGAGCAAAAAGCCCAGAAAGAGACATAAGCACGTCTAAAGATTTAATACGCAATATTGTTAGTGTTTCAAATTAACGGAGAAAGAACAGACTAAATGGTGTTGTAACATCAGGCCAACCATTTGGAAAAAAATAAGTCGGTGCCCGCCCTCACACTGTGGGCTAGGGCTTCTCAAATTTCTCCCAGAATCCTCCTAACCGGGGAGCAAGTGGACTGCTTCCCTGGGGCGTCCAAGGGTTTAGCCAAAAGCCCCAAATTTCCCTCCAGTCTGACTGTCTTAACACGGTTTTTCCCTACTCTGTATCTTCCTATTTGTTTTAATATTAAAATGGCATGCTTCTTTTCCCAGCATCTTCAAGGAAAAGTGACACTCTAAGAAGTCCTACGATCATAGTGTGACTTTGAGGAAACTGTGGCATCTTCAGCTGGGTCTCACCCCAGGGCTACCTGTACTCTCACTGAGAAACCTGGCCTTAGACCAAAGCACGCTGTATATAGAGTCAAGATTCACAGGTAAAACAGAAGTCATTAAGGGAGAAAGGTGGATGATAAATTCCCTTCTAATATGACTTTGTGGTAGAGACTGCTGGTTGCCTACCTGTGGCAGCGTGAAAAGTGGCCCCAAAGAGGTTCCCATCCAAATCCCCAGAACCTGTGAATTTGCTACTTTACATGGCAAAGGGGGCTTTGCGAACACTGGCGATTCCTCTGTGTGCCTTAAACATCCCCTGCTGCAAGGCGGGGGAACATCCCCAGAGAGGGTCACTCACAGACGATGTTGTGCCTTGCGGTTCGGACCTGGTACAGGTCCACGTCTGCCCGGGGGTAGCCCTCGCAGTCCACCAGTGGCTCGTTCATCCCGATGCCTTTCTGCTGGAGGGAAGAAATGAGGTCAAAAAGATTTCACACGTATGAAGTCCTCGGGCCTCTTTCCCCAGACTCTTGTCCTCTGCAGTCATAATAAAGGTGACAGTAACGAGAGAGGCCATATACTGATCACTTGGCACAGACCAGGTCCTTTCCCACATCCTCTCATGACTGCTCTCTGTGGCGGGCACCATTTTTTAACTGACTTTTAATAACACCAGTAATGCACGAATCCATTCCCCTTTTTTGAAGTTAGAGCAGTGCAGATAAAACTAAAGACTCCTTTGAGCATCACCCCCAAGGCCAGCCTCTTCCTCCACTCCTCCAAACCCTCCTTCCTATGGGCAGCTGACACCTGGCTGGTGGCCTTGGAAGCTGGAGGGGAGTAAAAACCTCAAAGAGCACCCAGCTGAGGCAAGACTTTGGTTCTTCTGAAAATAAAAAGAGATGTAAAGGGGCCTTCAAACAGGCTTTTCATCCCTGGAAGGAACACTGAACTGGAACCCCAGTTGCCATCTGGGGAGAGGAACGGGGGAGGCTAGGGGACAGCAGAGGGAGAGAGACTTTCTATTATGTATCCTTTTGTAGATTTTGAATTTTGACCACGGCAATGTATTCCCTATGGAAAACAATACATTTGTTTTAATGTTTGTTTGTTTGTTGTTTCGGCAGTGCCGCGCAGCTTGTGGAATCTTACTTCCCTGATCAGAGATTGAACCTGGGCCCTTGGCAGTGAAAGCGCAGAGTCCTAACCACTGGACCGCCAGGGAATTCCCTTGTTTTAATGTTTTAAAGTCTCTTCCTACATAAGTCAGAGCATGGTGCACAAAAGCAATGAAACATGTTATATGACATACAGCAGGGATTTTCAGTCAGACTTTGATTTCAAGCTCAATTCTGCCACATACAATCTGGGTGACCTTGGTTAAGAGATTCACCTCTCTGGGCCTCAGCTTCTTCAATTATAAAATGGGAATAACGGCACTTACCTCCCTTCCCACCTGCTCTGAGAATTAACGAGCTGACCTATGTAGGGTGCTTAGCACAGTGCCAGGCACATTCACAGAGTGGTGAACAGCGGCCCCCAAAAGATATGTCCAAGTCCTAAACCCCAGAACCTGTGAATGTGACCTTATTTGGAAAAAGGATCTTTGCAGATATAATTAAGTGAAGGATCAGCAAGAAGAGATCATCCTAGATTTAAGGTTGCCCCTAAATCCAATGACGGGTATCCTGATAAAAGAAAGGAGGGGGAGATTTGGGACACAGAGACACAGAGAGAAGGCCATGTGAAGACAGAGGCAGGGACTGCAGTGATGCAGCTACAAGCCAAGGATGGCCAGCAGCCACCAGAATCTAGGAGAGAGGCATGGAACGGATTCTCCCTCAGAGCGCCCAGAAAAAATCAAACCTGCCAACACTTGATGTCACACTTGATGTCACACTTCTGGACTCTACAACTGTGAGAGAATAAATTTCTGTTGTTTTAAGCCACCAAGCTGTGGTAATTCCTTATGATGGCCCTAGGAAATTAATATACATAGAAAGTGATAGGTGATGGCTGTAATTATCAGCACGGAGACCAGCTGCCTAGTGTACACACGTGCTAGCGGGAGGGATTCCATTCGTGTCTGTCCCTTTCTCTCTGAAAGCCTCTGGGTTACACCTACTGTTTCCTGTTCACGGGGAAGGGGGTCTCGTATACTCTCTTAGCGCAGGACTCTCTATAGATACAGCATAAATGTGCCAGGGGCTAAATATCTGTATCTGCCTCGTGCCTGCCCATGATGACTAAGAGTTGACTGGCCTCTCCAAGTCAATACCACATCAGACACTGCTTTCCAAAGTTGGGACCCACACCACTGGCAACTCACACACAGGGCATTAAATAACCCATTCTCTTTCTAATTATCTTCAACCCTTCAATAATCAGGGAGAAAGTCTCCATTTGGTGCTGGTCTTTATATCACCTCCAGATCACTTGTTATCTCTGGCCCTCTCCATTTTGTTTTTAACAGCTTTATCAAGATATAATTCACACACCATACAACCCACTCATTTAAAGTGTACAATTTAATGGTTTTTAGAATATTCACAGAGTTATGAAACCATCACCACAATCAATTTTAGAACATTTCCATCACCATCCAAAAAGAAACCCAAGACCCACTAGCAGTCACTCCCATTCCCCCCTCCCCTCAGCCCCTGGCAACTACTAATCTATCTTCCGTCTATGGATTTACCTATTCTGGATATTTTATATAAATGGAATTATAAAATGTGTGGTTTTTTGTGATGCACTTCTTTCACTTAGCATAACGTTTTCAAGATTCATGCACTTTTGTAGCCATGTGCCAGCACTTCATTCCTTTTTATTGGCTAATATCCCGTTGCATGGATAGAACACATTTCAGCTATCCATTTATCAGGTGACAGAGAGTTGGATGGATCACCTTGATATACACTTTTATATTTAAGGAAAGAGAGTCTCATTTTTTCATATGCTGTGAAGTTATAAGATTTCCTTTAAAAATAAAACTATCTAAGTAAAAAAGTGAGGCAACTTAAAGAAAAATATCAAGGGAGTAACAGTACAGGAGGTATACAGATAGAGCATATCCTACTGCAGTAGCAAAGTAACTAAGGTGTGAGAACTTGCTGGCACAACACTTGAAAGCACAGATTCTGGGTTCAACAGGCATAAGATCTGAATCCCACTTTGTGACTCTGAACAAGTGACTTCCCCTTTCTGAACCTCAGGGTAACAAACCAACTTCACAGAGTAGTTGAGAGGATTCCACGATATAACACATACATAAACCGGCCCCCTTCAGGCACATAGTCAGCGCCCAGTAAAATGGTACCCTGACCTCCATATGATACTTCATCTTACTCCCATCACCTAAAATGAATTCCATCCGCCCTACATAGAATGTAATTCATTTACTCTTCCCCAGCAAAGTGATTTGCGGTTTTATACTAGGTGGCTTAAGAAAAACTGTATCCGTTTTGGAGCCAGTGGGGTGTGGCTAAGTACTAGCCCCACCACTGCCACTTCCAACCTACCTGACCCTAGGCAAGGATTTTCCCCAAGCCGAGCCTTTCCTGTCATTCAAAGCTGGGTTCTTAGACCAGTGCCATCAGCATCGCTGGGAATTTGCTAGAAATGCAGTAGCTGCTCCCACACATCTGTCCGCCAACAGAATCTGAATTTTAACAAGCTCTCCAGGTGATTCGAATACACACTAAAGCTTAAGAAGCTCTGAGGTAAAGTGGTTAGTAAAGCACAGGACATCTGGTAACCGTTCAACAAGGACTGATGATAGAGGTGATTATCACCCTGCCTCTGCAAACTTATTGGCCCTGTGACTTGAGGCAGGTTTAAGTAATACCTCTGTTGCCTCATCCCTAAAATGGGGGAAATGACAGAACTCACCTCAAAATGTTGTTGGGAGGATTAAACGAGTTAACCAATGTCAAGCGCTTAACAACTGCGCCCCGCACCCAACAAGAATTCCACAAATACCTGCTAGAACATCAATTCTAACTGTTCATAGTTATTCACGTTATTTGCCTCAATGTCTGCTGCCCACAGAGGCCGAAACTGCTGCGCCTTGGGCCTCCCGGGGAGGGAGAGATCCACAGCTGAGAGCTCAAGCGGAGGCCGCCCTGGTCTCTCAGTCCCCGCCCCGGGTCTGGGGGCCGGGCTGGGAAGGCCTCCGGGCGCCTCCCACGCCCGCCCGGGAGCCCCGTGCCCACACTCACGCTCTCCAGCACGTCATAATTGGCTTTGATTTGCGCCTCGATCTCCTCCTTGCGCCGTATCAGTTCCTGTATGTCGCTGACAGTCACCCCGCTGGCCTCCGGGGAGCCTCCGCTCTCCCTCGTTTCCTTCTCCGACATCGTGAACCTCGGCCCGGAAGCCCTGACTGCGGGTTTCCCGACCGCGGACGCCCGAGAAGACTGTGCCTACGGCTCCGCCCGCGGGCCAAAACACCGCGGCCTTTCGCAGGAGCCTGGAAAAGCGAGGGGCGTGGTTTGTCGGCGGAGCGTGGTCACCGGAAGCCCCACAATGCGGGAACACGCGGTCCTGTGGAGACTCGTGGAGGGGAGGTATAAAGACGGAAGGATTCCCTGTCCTACCCAAGCGCTGGCCGCGACCAGGACATGATGAACTCTTCCTAGTTAATTCATTTTCTTTCCTCATTCATTCAGCTATGTATTGAGCGCCTACTGCACGTTTGTACCTGAGCACTGTGCATGGTGCTCCATTTCAGCTCTGCATCTACACAGCGCTTGAGGGTTTACAAAATAGTCAGATTCCTCATGCCCTGTTTCACAAAGCCTACAAGCTTGGGTTCAAATCTGGGCTCTTGCCTCTTACTGCCAGTAGTGACCTAGGTAAACTACTTCACTCCTCTGAGCCTCAGTTTCCTCATCTGTGAGTTGGTTGGGTATTGATAGCAATCTATCTCATAGTGCTGACATTTTGCCAACAAATATTTATTGAATGCCTCCTTTGTACCATACACTGTCCTAGGTACTGGAGGGGTAAAGTATTGAGCAGTGGACTCAGTGCCTGTCACATATTAAGGTCTCTATAAATTTTAGTACAAATAGTATTGATGATGACAGTAATAGTAATACTAATAATTTATCGAATACAGTGCATCACACTGTTCTAAGGGCCCTATGTGTATGAATTCAACAACCTCATAAATGAGGATTATTATTACCCTCATTTGACAGCTGAGAAAACCATCTCAATAATCCACTTGCCCAACTAGAAAAATAAACAGCCCAAATTTGAACCCAGCTTAACCAAATGGTGACACTTAACATCTTAACATGTCCCCCCTAAGATTTTGCACTGAAAAGGATACACCATCACCTATGTCGTAGTCAAACATGTTTGCCCTGAATCCGGTCATGAAAAACAAGCAGACAAACCCAAATTGAGGGACATTCTTCAAAACAGCTGTCCTGAACCCTTCAAAAAGGTCATTATTGTGAAATATCCACACAGAAACTAGGCAATCACTTAGATTAAGGACTAAAGAGACACAACAGTTAAATGCAATATGTGATCCTTCATTGGATCCTGGTTCCCTTAAAAAAAAAAGAAACAAAAAAGAAACTATACAGAACATCCTTGAGACAACTGGGGAAATTTGAATATAGTACCAATGTTAAATTCCCTGATTTTGATACTCCTATTGGGTTATTTAAGACAATGTCCGTAGAAAATGCACCCTGTAGTATTTAGAGGCAAGAGAAGCAACTTACTTTCAAATGGTCCAGAAAAAAATCTCTATATATATGTAGATAGATTTGTAGACAAGAGAATGAAAAGGTAAATGTGACAAAGTGTAAATCATTGGTGACTCCGGGTGAAACATATAGGAACATTCTTTGTACTATCGCTGAAACTTTTATGTAACTTTGAAATTATTTCAAAATAAAAAGTTGCTAAAATAACCTTTACACAGAAGAAAGTAGAACTGATTACATTAGGCCTCCTACATTTTGTTCAATTATCTCTCTTTTTTTTTTTTTTTTTCAGCCGCACCATGGCTTGCGGGATCTCAGTTCCCCAGCCAGGGACTGAACCCCAGCCACTGCAGTGAAAGCGCCAAGTCCTAACCACTGGACCGCCAGAACACCAGGGAACTCCTGCCTCAATTACCTCTTAAGTAAACATTTCTAACAGTGATGCAACAAAAGAAAAAAGAGAGAGACGCAATAACTAGCTGCAACACACAATCTTTGAATTTTAAAAAGCTGGGTTTCTCTGGTGGCGCAGTGGTTGAGAGTCCGCCTGCCGATGCAGGGGACGCGGGTTCGAGCCGCGGTCCGGGAAGATCCCACATGCCGCGGAGCGGCTGGGCCCGTGAGCCATGGCCGCTGAGCCTGCGCCTCTGGAGCCTGTGCTCCACAACGGGAGAGGCCACAACAGTGAGAGGCCGCGTACCGCAAAAATAAAATAAAATAAAAAACAGCAGCTCTAGGGCTTCCCTGGTGGCGCAGTGGTTGGGAGTTCGCCTGCCGATGCAGGGGACACAGGTTCGTGCCCCGGTCCGGGCGGATCCCACATGCCGCAGAGCGGCTGGGCCCGTGAGCCATGGCCGCTGAGCCTGCGCGTCCGGAGCCTGTGCTCCGCAACGGGAGAGGCCACACAGTGAGAGGCCCGCGTACCGCAAAAAACAAAAACAAAAAAAACAGCAGCTTTAAAAGACATTATTAGGGGACTTCCCTGGTGGTCCAGTGGCTAAGACTCCACGCTCCCAGTTCAGGGGGCCCAGGTTCCATCCCTGGTCGGGGAACTAGATCCCACATGCATGCCACAACTAAGAGATCCGGCATGCGGTAACTAAGACCTGGTGCAACCAAATAAATTAAAAAAAAAAAAAAAAAAGACAATTGGTGAAATTTGAATATGGACTTCATATTATAGTGTATGGATATTAAATTTCCTTAGTAAGATAATGGTATTGTGATTATATTAGAAAATCTTATTCAAAGGAAATGAATGTTGAAGTGTTTAGAGGTTCAGTGTCATGATTTCTGAAACAAATTTGCAAGTTGTTCAGGAAAAAAAGCTATACACACACATATGTATGTATGTATGTATGTATAAAATGAGAGAGCGAGAAAAAGAGGCAAAATGTAACAATAGGTAAATCTCAGTGAGGGTTTGAAATTTATTTTTCCAAAAAAAAATTGTTTTCCTATACAGTCGGAAACCAGAGCTATTGTTTAAGTCACTATATTAAGTTGTTATTATTATAATGGACCTAGATCCTGTCCCTTCATATGCTTTCATAGCTCTCAAAGCCTTTCCATCACCTCCACCTCTGCTCTCATCTCACCACCCCAGATTTCCGAGGCCCCTCAACTTGTCTCAACTGCCAGCTGCCGCTTCCATCCGTTCTCCACACAGCAGCCAGAATAACCTACCCAAGGAATAACATGGTCACTCTGCTGCTTAAAAGCTTTCAATGGCTTTCCAGCACCTTTTCTTATCCTTCAAGACCTTTCTGATCCCTGCTTGACTTTTGACCCCTACGCCCGCCCCCAACACGCACACACACAGACACACACACATATCCAGCCACACTAAATTGCCAGCAGTTTCTGGCACATTTATTGCTCAGTCTCTCTCAGCACTGGGTCTTAGCACCTGCTCATCCCTTCTCTAGGACATCATCTCAGGTCAGGCTGGTTTCAGCTCCTCCTTTAAGACCCATCCAGCTCTGGACTTCCCTGGTGGCGCAGTGGTTAAGAATCTGCCTGACAATGCAGGGAACACAGGTTCTAGCCCTGGTCCAGGAAGATCCCACATGCCGCGGAGCAACTAAGCCAGCGAGCCACAACTATTAAGCCTGCGCTCTAGAGCCTGCGCATCACAACTACGGAAGCCCGCGTGCTGCAACTACTGAAGCCCGAGCACCTAGAGCCCGTGCTCCACAACAAGAGAAGCCACCGCAATGAGAAGCCTGCACACCGCAACGAAGAGTAGCCCCCGCTCGCCGCAACTAGAGAAAGCCTGCGCACGGCAACGAAGACCCAACACAGCCATAAATAAATAAATAAAAATAAAATAATAGGATCCATCCAGCTCAAACATCACGTCTCCTGGGAATCATCCTCTAACCTGCTCCAAACCTGGACTGTGTACTGCACTTTCCATCTGGTATCATAAATGCATGTTTACCTGTGTGTCCCACGCACTGAGGACTCAGAGGCTGTGAACTGAGGCTTAGCTTCAGATATCTGACTGAGCGTTTAATCAAGGATTCTACGGGAACACACAGAGAGAATAATCTGCTCCTTCCCTATTCCGATTGTTCTGGTTCATCTTTTTTTTTTTAATTTTTATTGGAGTATAGATGATTTACAATGTTGTGTTAGTTTCAGGTGTACAGCAAAGTGAATCAGTTATGCATATACATATATCCACTCCTTTTTTTTTTTAGATTCTTTTCCCATATAGGCCATTACAGAGTATTGGGTACAGTTCCCTGTGCTATACAGTAGGTCCTTATTAGTTATCTATTTTGTGTATAGTAGTGTGTATATGTCAATCCCAATCTCCCAATTTATCCCTCCCCACCTTATCCCCTGGTAACCATAAATTTGTTTTCTACACCTGTGACTCTACTTCTGTTTTATAAATAAGTTCATTTGTGCCCTTTTTTTTAAGATTCCACATGTAAGCAATATCATATGATATTTGTCTTTCTGTGTCTTCCGCGTACTTCACTCAGTATGGCAATCTCTAGGTCCATCCATGTTGCTGCAAATGGTAATCTTTTTTATGGCTGAGTAGTATTCCATTGTATATATGTGCCACATCTTCTTTATCCATTCCTCTGTCGATGGACATTTAGGTGGCTTCCATGTCCTGGCTATTGTAAAGATTGCTGCAATGAACATTGCGGTGCATATGTTCTGGTTCATCTTACCTGCAGTGGCCACAGGCAGGCAACATAGCCTTTGTTTTACAAAGCTACCAAGATGTAGGAGAACTTAAATTGTTTGCCTCTTCCAAACATCCATACCTTCCTCATTTTCATTTCAGAACAAGAAGGAGGCCAGGAGAAAGGGAATTGGGAAGTAGACCCGAGAGCTACCCACAAGACCTGGGCAGTCACAATCATACTCCCCGCCTCCAGCACCCTGCAGATCTTCCATATTTTCCCTCTGCCCTGGCCTACTGGGAGCCAGGCAAACTGGGAAGTCAATAACCCTCAGTACCTGCATCTATAAATCAAGAGGCTGGACTCCAAGTTCTTTTTTTGGGGGGGCGGGCCACACCCCGAAGCTTGATCTTAGTTCCCCGACCAAGGATCAAACCCGGGCCCAAGGCAGTGAAAGCGTGGAGTCCTAACCACTGGACCACCAGGGAATTCCCTCCAAGGTCTTAACTGGTGGCAGATTTGTGTGAGTTGGCTCACTGAGAGTTTTAAGAATTTTAGTTGCCGAGTCAGTTCAGGGCCCCATCATGAAACAGCGGGCATACTCA